TGTTTGTCAATGAGTTATAATTGATCCAAAATGTGTCACATTATAACAAATAACGGTTATTTTGGAAAGCGGATCAGTTTGCATTATTATTTGAGTGATTAATAGAAGAGTCAGAGCAGCCACAGAGGGCGTCACATTAAGAGCTGCAAACCTCCATGTAGCTGCTCTGCAGACTGCCGTGTGCAGCATGAAATCAGATCACAGCTGCTTTCACAAAGATATGAAAAGGCTACATTGCCTGACATCGTTATTAAAACGACAGTAGTTTGTGGTGCTCCCCCCATGATTCTGGGAACTGTAGTATTACGGTACACCACATACTGTATACTCTTATCTCCAGTAAATACTTTTTAAAGAGGCCCTATTTTGCTTTTGGGGTTCTCCATTTTCGTGTAATGTGTTTTATAGGTTTTTGTGCAAGTAAATGGTCATTGTTTTCTTCAGTAACATAGTGACATCACTATGTGACACTTGCACTACCATTGCCTAGTGCTCCAACACATTGTACGTGATATGCTAAGGGCCAGGACATCTTTTGAAGAGCTTTTTGAACATAAAAGTATGGAGACATGTCACAATAGAGGCACTAAATACTAATATGAACCTGAACATGAGCATTATAGAGCCCCTCCAACATTTCCACCAGGACTGAAATGTTCAGGATTGCCACATTAAAGGCTCTTAGAACTTTAATTTCAATTTGAATACAGGACTTTAAAGGATCTTGTATCTCAATTTGACCTTCCTGGCTAAACGAAGAATGAAAAAATGTAAACTATTAGTTGGGATTTTACTTGTGTGCCTGTAGTGTGACAGTTTTGGCACTCATAAACCTCAGACGGTCAAACTCTGAACTTGATCCAAATTGCTCCACTGTGCTGTTGACATTGATTTGGGCTTATCTGCTCAGCCGTCCCTGCTGAAGTCAACACTTCCCGTCCCTGCTGAAGCCAACACTTCCCGTCCCTGCTGAAGCCAACACTTCCCGCCCCTGCTCCTTCACAGTGCTTGCCTGAAAGCATTCACCAACAGGAGATTGTCTTTGACCTCCAACCTCAGCCCTGCAGCTGCAGCAACAGGACGTTGTGGTCAGCAGCTGGATGGACGCCAAGCCCCCCTCCTCTGTGAAAAGTTTCATACGGCAAATATAAAACTCTTCTAGGAGAAAACAAAACAAAAAAGGAGACACCAGAGAGGAGAACAGGTAGAAAAAATGATTTAAAGCAGAGCGGCTGAGGAGAAAACAAACATGGAGGAGCCGTCGTTGTAGGAGCGATCGCCTAAAGGCTGCCAACTGTCACATCATCTGCTTCTCTGTGGCGGATATGCAGAAAGGTGCAGAGGATTGTGGGTAGGCTGGCTGGCTGAGTCGGCTATTAGAACGAGTCGATCGTACAGCATCATCTGAATAAAAGCAGGATGAAGACGATGATTTCACAATAAAACGCCCTTCACACCGGGAACGGATTGTGTGTGTGGGAGTGTGTGACCTTGAAAGAAGAGGTTTAAAACCTCTTTAGATCTGTAAAAAAACACAATATGGAAACGTGAGGAAAGAAAGCAGAGCGGGCGGAGGAGGAGGAGGAGGAGGAGGAGGAGGAGGAGGAGGAGTGGAGGCAAGCGGAGAAGCTCATTAGCTGAGAATCAGTTAGATGGTGGATGTGATCATTAGGGCCAGGAGGGATCAGACTCCACTGTCTATCCTCCCACCAACACTCATGCATGTGTGTGTGAGGATGTTGCAGTGCAGAGGATGAAAGGGCTCATGGGTAAAATCTTTTTGGCTCTCCCCCTCCCTTCCTCACTCTCTCGCTGCCTGTCATACTTATTTCTTTTTATCCCTTGTCTCCATTTTTACCCCACACCGCACATCCATCCTGAAATGTTGCAGCTCCGACAAAAGTGCTCCTGATGAAATGGCGTTATTTTTACACCCGGAACACCTTCATTATTTTCCGAAACACCAGCGTTAAAATCAGTATCTGTACTTTGGTGCTGATGTTCACCAAAATATATTTTCAGTCCTTAAAATAATTTGTAAAAATGGTACTGGGCAGAGGTTTGTGCTCTGGGTGCTTTTATGGCTGGATATTCATATTAAACCGGGACTATAAATAATATTTTTAATAATTAAGCTATTAATTCCTCTGCAAATTAATTAATTGAATTAGTTATTATAGGTTGGGGTTTGTTAAGGGTTAGGGGCTTAGGGTTTATCTTTTAATATTATATTATCTTTTAATATTCATTTTAACTTCAGATTTGGTATAAACTCAATTTGTGAGTCCCTGAATAAGAAAAATAAATAAAAAGAAGAAATGTAAAAGAAACGAACGAAGGGGAAGGGAAAATCGGCGTTATAGGATCTGGTGTCGCAGAGCACCCGGCAGGACAGAGTTCGTAGCTGGCGGAGCCAACGGCGTGACAGGAACCAGTGTTAGGGTTTCATAATCTGGGGTCAGTAATGCAGTGCACATTGGCTTGAACTTCAATTGGATTATTTTCTGTGTCACTTTTCATTTGCCATTTTGTGCTTTGTGATTTCATTCTGAAAGGTAACTGGAGTGTCTCAGCCCAGCAGTGTTCACACTTTGCTAGCACTTTGTTCCTCTCACTAATCTACACAGGACGGCAGATTGTAGCGGGGGTCTGATAGCAGCAGCACGTAAACAGACTCACAGTAACAACACTAATCAATAGAAAGCACTGAAGTACAAACTGCCAGAGGGCAAAGATGAATGAAGAAAAGGAAGAAGTAAACAGTGCACCTGTTAATCCCAGAGAGCGACGCAGCGACGCCTCACACTCACAGGGGGGAGATCATTCTCTAATGTTGCAGTCAGAGAGGGGAGTTGTTTACGCTGTCTGCAGGTTTGAAGCCGCTCTATTATCCGCTCCCTCCTGCATGCCTCTTATTCATTTTCAATTTCTATGTAAATCCATCTCGTGGAAAGCCGCGGTACAGAGATGGAGATGGAGCCGTGGAATGCAGCGTGGCAAACCGCTGCATCGCCGCGCAGAGGTGGTTCTGCTTAAAACTGCAGCAAACAGATAGAGGGAGGGGGTGAGATGGGGGAGGCAGCTTAATTGGAATGGCCTTCACATGTTCTATTGTACGTTGAATTGATCCATCTCTTTGCATTTTTCTTTTATTCCCTTTCCTCTCGCTTTATTTCACTCTGCATGTAACAACAAAACGTAAACTGTGCATCTCGTCCACTTTTCTCTCAATCACCCCGCTCCCCCCTCTCTCCCTCCCTTTTATTTTGTTCTCCTCTTTTCTTCATCAAGGCCATGTCTTTTTATCTCTCCTCCCGCTACTCCAGCCCACACTCTCCCTTTCTGCTCAGTATGAATATTGGATGTTCAGAAAGACATGCAGTGTGAGTCTCAGAGAGTGGGATCAATGCTGCAGCACACACACATTCATGTGCGAGGCGGCTAATGCAAAGTCAATGACTTCTACAGGTGTCCTTGTTTGTGAGAAACAACTTTGCGTCATTTAGTTTGCACTGAAGAGCAGAACAACATAAGTTGCAGCAGAAGTTTTTTTGCTATTGACAGTCTCACACTTTCCTCTGGTCTCACTCCATTCAGCAGAGTGATGCTCTGAATGTGCAGGAGCCGGGTTCTGCAGCACAGCGACGGGCACTCACTGCTTAGCAACAGGAAAACTCCACATCACACCTGTACTGCATACTACCTTGTCTGATGCATGGGGTTTCATTTGGCTGCTTGTGGGCAAAACTGCAGGTTATTGGAGTTAAGCTCATTTGAAAAATATTTCAGTTTTTCAACTTAAAAAGGACCTATTATGCTTTTCTGACCCTTCACTTTCCTGCAGTGTGTTACATTGTTTCTCGGTGCATCTAACTGGTCTGCAAAGTCTAAAAGCGGGTGTTTCTTTCCCACTCCCAAATATGGGCTTTTTTTTGACATTTTTAGACAATATTTTCTTGGGACTAATTGTAGAAATGGAAATATCAGTCAGTGATAAATAAAAGAGAAACAAGTGCTTCATATCCATCCATTGACCAACACAGCAATGTTATATATATACAGTGCACAATGTGACGGACGAACAAAAGTACTGTATAAAAGAATTATGCATAATTTGTACACGCAAATATGTGAAATGAATATACTGCACTGTATTAGGACATGGAGTGTGTGTGTGTGTGTGTGTGTGTGTGTGTGTGTGTGTGTGTGTGTGTGTGTGTGTGTGTGTGTATGTGTGTGTCATACTTGCCAACCCTCCCGATTTTCGCGGGAGACTCATTTCAACTCAAGTCTCCTTTCAACTCAAGTCTGAGAGGGTGAGGAAGNCTCTCCCTTTCACTACCCTTTGAATGCTGGAGCTGTGTTTCCATGGTAACACTGACCCCTGGGAGTCACACAAGCTTCTTTAGAATCCCTCTCTCTCTCTCTGTCTCTCTCTCCTGCTTGTCCATCCTTTCCTCCCACTCTGTGTACTTCTCTCTACCTCTTCATCACCTGTTCTCTCACCAACTTGCTCTTCTTCTCTTTCTCCTATGTTAAAAAAATAGTTAGTTATGTGTTCAGGTGGTGGACACACTGCCGCGCACGCTCTGTAATGTCATGTGTCTACGGCATATTTACATTGCTAAATCACACACACACACACACACACACACACACACACACACACACACACACACACACACACACACACACACACACACACACACGAAGACTCATTTAAAATCATTTTCTCATTACACTAACTTTCCTTGATTTAGTCAA